TCGTTGTATCACCAGAAAATTACCTAGGTCCTCTTGCAGTCGCTTGCGATTATTGTGGTGCATTGTTTTTCGAAAACGAAGCTAAACCGATGAATGGTCGATTCAACTTATGCTGTAACTTCGGCAATGTCAATTTGGACCTTTTCACGAACTTTCCGGACTTCATTCGGACACTTCTCACTGGAAACAGTAACGCTAGCAAGAACTTCCGCCAGCACATCCGCTCATACAACAGTGCATTAGCCATGGCCTCGATGGGCGCGAAAGTGGATACACCTCGCGGCGGTGGGCCTTATTGTTACCGTATCCATGGTCAAGTGTACCATTTTGTTGGGCCCTTGGACCCAGAACCTGGCACTCGCCGGCAATACGGGCAGTTGTATATACTGGACACGGATGATGCTACTGCTGAAAGGCTTGGAAACCCTGCCAATGAAGGTTGCGATCCCCTAACTATGCGTGAATTGACTGCTTGGTTCCATACTCACAACGAGTATGCTGCTTCGTTCAAAATGATGGGCGATATCGTTGCGGAAGAAGAAAGAAAAGCGCAGTTGGAACAAAGGGCAGCGCCTAAAATTAGGATGATTTTCGACAGCGGACGCGGTTTTGACCGCCGACGTTACAATGTTCCCGTGACGAACGAAGTGGCAGTTGTGTTTGTAGGTGAGGACAACGACGTGCCAGCCACGCGTTCATTGGCAGTTCATCATAAAGAAAAAGGGTTAAATCCGATCCAGGATATAGATGGTCGCTGCGATCCTTTGACATACCCACTGTTTTACCCTAGAGGAGGGCTAGGTTGGCATGTGGATCTCACTAAAAATGCAAGCGAACGAATTCGGACAAGAATTACCCAGAGGGAATTTTACTCGTATCTTCTTTCTGTTCGCACAACATTCAATCCATTGCACTACGCCAGCAAACTCCTTCAGCAGTTTGCTGTAGATGCTTATGTGAAAATCGAACAAAACAGACTTAATTACACGAGAACACATCAGAAGGAACTCCGTATTGATAGCTACCAAGGGCTGATGGACCACCTGGCCAGTGATGACGCACACGAACCTGCAGGCCAGCGTGTCATCTTACCGGCAACATTCCAAGGTGGACCACGGGCAATGCATCAATCGTATCAAGATGCCATGGCCATTGTTGCCAGGTACGGAAAGCCTGACTACTTCTTGACGTTCACGTGCAATCCGAAATGGAGAGAGATCAAAGAAAATCTCTACGATGGGCAAACCGCATCTGATCGCCCAGATATCGTTGCAAGAGTGTTCCACAGAAAATTAGAAGTCTTAAAGGAGAATCTCTTTGAGAAGAATATTCTGGGCCGCGTAGCTGCATACGTTGGAGTAGTAGAATGGCAAAAACGAGGTTTACCTCATTGCCATATGCTCCTGATTATGACAGCTAATTCAAAACCGCGGAATTCTGATCAAATCGATGCAGTTGTCCAGGCTTGCTTACCTGACAAAGCTACCAATCCACGACTGTTTGACATTGTCGTTAGCAACATGGTGCATAGGAACTGTGGAGCAACATCTCCAACGGCTCCCTGTATGATCAATGGACGCTGTTCTAAAAACTTTCCTAAAGAGTTTCGGGAAGAAACCGCCATCAGTGCCGACGGTTATCCAAAATACAAACGACCGAACAACGGACGTTCTGTACAAATAGGAAACGAAGTTTTCGACAACAGGCATATTGTTCCTTACAACCGCTTCCTCTTGATGCTGTTGAACGCCCATATCAATCTAGAGATCTGTGGGTATGTTCAAGCTGTGAAGTACCTGTATAAGTATGTCTATAAAGGACCCGACAGAGCATCCTTACGCCTTCTGCAGAACAAGAACGATGATCACACTGATGAAATTCGAGCACATCTCGATGCCCGCTACGTGTGCTCTCCGGAAGCATTACACCACATATTTATGTACGAGTGTCAGTTCAAGTCCGACACTGTGTGCAGACTACAGGTACACCTCCCAAACTTCCAAACCGTCACATTTCCAAGCGGAGGAGAAAGAGAAGCTGTGGAAAGGGGATCCACCAAAGATACTACTCTTACGGCTTGGTTTAAGTTCAACGCTGAATACGAACAACTGGAATCAGAAAGCTCCATTCTTCCAGGAATGGTTGATCCACGAACCCTGTATTATCATCAGCTTCCTGAGCATTTCACTTATGTGAAGCAAACTGGGAAGTGGAAGCAAAGAGGAAGAGGTAACCGACAAATAGGTCGCATGTATATGGCTTCACCTAAGCACATGGAAAGGTTTAGCTTACGGGTCCTCTTACTTCATCGAAAGAATATGCGGTCCTTTGAGGACTTGAGGACCGTAGATGATCAACAGTATCCCACGTTTTCGGCAGCTGCACGCGCTCTTGGCCTGCTCCACGATGATGCCCACTATGAGCATTGCCTAGAAGAAGCCGCGTGTTTCCAAATGCCGGCTGAGTTGAGAGCGTTGTTCTGTTACTTGCTAGCGTTTTGCGAGGTCAATGATCCTTCTCATCTTTTTGAACTTTTCAAATCAGACATGTTCGAAGATTTTGTACACAGAGGTGCCACGGAAGAAGATGCAATAGCAATGGCTTACTACGAAATGTCCGATATGTTGGAAACGCTGCAATGTGATCTGTCACAACGGATAACACCTCCAACGCAACCTCGTCCAGATGTGTGTGCTGAGGACACCGATTACAGTTACCATAGCAATAAAGGGACCGAGATGTTTGAATTGCTCAACCACGAACAACGTCTTGCAGCCAACGGTATTCTGACATCGTTCGATGTCGGTACTTGCAAGTTACATTTTGTTGATGGCCCGGGCGGCAGTGGAAAGACTTTCCTTTATAGTACCATCTATCATATTCTGAAAGGACAGCGCAGATCCATTGTTTGTGTTGCATGGACTGGAATTGCCGCCAGTTTATTACCTGAAGGACGAACTGCCAGCTCTATGTTCAAGCTCAATATGCAATCTGGAAACCGCGATTGTATGCTTCGACGAGAGTGTAAAGATGCTCTGCCTTTAAAGAACGCGGATGTGATTATATGGGATGAGATCAGCATGGTGCCTAAACATTCCTTGGAAGCAGTCGACTTACTACTCAAGGATTTGATGTGCAACACGTTGCCTTTTGGTGGAAAAATTATAGTTCTTGGAGGCGATTTTCGGCAAGTTTTGCCCATAGCGGAACATGGGACTGAGTCGAGTATGATCGATATGTGCGTAAAAAATAGTCACATCTGGGCTGAGTTCCGTAAGCATACGCTGTCTGTCAATATGAGAACAGGAGAGTCCGATATGTCATGGTGCAACTTCCTTATCAAAGTAGGAGACGGAGAAGCGGAAGAAGATGACGAAGGTTGTATAGAAATCCCCCAAGACATTACCTCTAACGGCGACCTTATCGAGGAAGTTTTCGGAAATCAAATTTCTAACACCGACATACTCACGGATCGTGCCATATTAGCACCAAGGAACATCGACGTTTATCGCATAAACGAAGAGGCTCTTTGCAGGTTACCAGGCGAAATAAAGGAATATAAAAGTATAGATGAGGTTACCAGTGATGAATATTGCGAGTATAGTACGGAGTTTCTAAACAGTTTGTCACCTGCAGGACTCCCTCCTCATAATCTTCGACTGAAGAAAGGCGCAATTGTGATATTGCTTAGAAACTTGAATGTCAAGAAAGGACTATGTAACGGAACCCGCCTGATAGTGACTCATTTCGGGCAACACGTTATTGGCTGCGTTTTTGCTTCTGGAGAGCGGAAAGGTCAATTTGTGCTCATACCTAAGATCGACAACCTCACCGACAAAGGCGTTCCCGTACGAGTTAGAAGGCGGCAATTTCCTGTACGCTTGGCGTTTGCTATGACCATCAATAAAGCTCAGGGCCAAAGTCTAACGAGTGTTGGAATACACCTAGGAACTGACATCTTTTCTCATGGACAGCTTTATGTCGCTTTATCACGCTCGCGTACGAAAGAAGGCGTGAAAGTTCTTAAAAACGGGACACGAGTGAGGAACATCGTAATAAAAGAAGTGCTCTAAGCTTATCTCAAGTGCATTGATCTATCGTCATATCCATACACATGCTGCAATCTCATGCTTCTCACTGCGCCTGCTTTTCATTCACTTACAGTCAGTAACTTTAAGCAAATCCTATCGATTTCCTATTGTGTACATCATCAAGTATTAAGGAATCTAACATCCTATTCAAGTGATCTCAATTCTATACACCAAGCTTCTGAAATTTGTTCCTTGCTCTCAGTGTTCCAATGTTTCACTGAGAATTTTATACTATAAAGTTGGTTATCTACATAAACTATTAGAAGTTTGAATGTTTTTTTTAATTCCGTAGTTTTCCATAAGGTCTGTCCTCGTGATATTAACAAATGTAAGCAGCTTGAGAAATTCTGCAAAGTATAGAGAGATAAGACGCAGAAATTTTTGCGCATGCCCAGCCCAACGAG